ACGTGTGGGTGCTAGAACGATAGCGTATGGTCCGTCGTTTTTGCGCCACTCGTTCTCGTCAAGTCGTGGTAGCGCCGAGATGTAGACCAAAAGTGGGAGTAGGAATGCGGCGGTTTTACCGGAACCTGTCACGGCGACACCAATCAGGTCACGCGACTGCATAGCGATGGGGATAGCCGCGCGCTGAATAGCTGTTGGGTCCTTATATCCGACACGGTCAACAAGCTCCAACAAGCGCTTCGGCAATAGACTTTCCTCCCATGAACGCATGGGATTAGGGACACTTCCACCTTTGGTGGCAATATTGAAATCTTCCTTGAAAATACGCCAGTCTCGCTCGCGCATGTGGTTCAAGTCTTTCTCACTCCAATGCTTGTCAAGCTGTGTGCGACTACTGCCATCACGTCGCTGGCGTTCCATATCCAGCATTTTTTGGGCTCGTGCACTACCGGCTTCCTGATCGCGGGTCGCCAATGCTTCTGCGTATTTGCGCGCGACATCATCGGCGACATCATCGCCAAAGCCTGCCAAACGCCCCCGGCCGAAGAAGTTGGCTTCTTGTCGTTTTTGGTACAGGGGGTTATAGTCGCCACTTGTGTCTTCCTCGGCGTTCCACTCGAAGTTGAACTTGCGGTCTGCGGTACGCTTGCGCTTCTTCTTTGCCGAGAAGTTAGACGTCTGGTCAGCTCCCATGTATCGGTGTTTGGTCAATGTAGCCAGCGCTGTAGCTTCGTCTTCTTCGGTTAGACGCTTTTCGCCTTTAGTCTTGGGTGCGGGTTGCGGCATATCCTGGTCGCGATTGTACTGGTTGTGCTGTCGGCCTCCCTTCCGCATACCACCAGGTCCAGATGAAGGTTCGTCGCGCATCGCTCGCGGCCCGGTGGGTACATGACGTTCCTCCCGGATATTGCGAGGCGCTTGAGGCCTCACAGACAGCGGCTCAGATGGGAAACCGTTGTGATCAGTGTTGTTGGTGCGGGCCTTGGCTTGCCGCTCTGCCTCAACCTCTTGCGCCCGTTTCTCCAGCGCGAGTTTCTCTCGTTGGGCTTTAGACAAAAATTTAGGCTATAGAAAGAGGTAAGCGTAAGTAAAAGCCACCAAATCTTGGGTCACGTATTTCATCGTCCCCAGAGTAGGAAAAGCTTACCTTTGCCGTTGCCGCATCTGCTTCTCTCTTCTTGCGTATCAAGTCCTCCACACTCAGTGGAGTGACAGCCGGTTTCTTTGCGCCCCATCCTAGCTTCTGCTTCTTCTGGGTCTCAACTGGGGGTGGGGGTGGCACATCATCGGGAGGAGGTGGAGGGGCGATGCTGTCTGGCGGCGGAGGAGGAGCGGCTAAGTCTTCTGGGGGAGGCGGAGGTGGGCTGGGCGGGCGCTCCACTGGATCTGGGGGAGGGAGCGGAGGGAGTCCCTCAGAGCCGTTGGTCATGGCTTGCGTATGTGAGGGAAATGAGGTCTAATGAAACAACCGAACTAGAGACAAGAAGGAAGTGATATTGAATTTCTACGGAATATGATAAGAGCCAGACGCGTAGTCACGTGATCATAAATCACGTGCGATTATCTATATACTATCTACTATCTTGATATCTCCATGTGATCATTGCTAACAATGTAGTGGAACTGGGGCAACTACATTAAACCGAAAGGATTATACATATGCAACTACAATTTACTGCAGCAATCTAGTTGTTGTAGCGTGTAAGTCTAACAACGTTAATACACCCACCGACGAATCAATTTGAAGCAATTGGAATTAATTTTCTGTGGAAAAACAAGCCACCTTAGAATACAATTGGTCCGGAAGGATCCAATGAATTGGTCATAAGCCTGTGTCAAGCCCCGAGAAGGGACTGGACACCAGTACATCTGACAAAAGTGAGAAGAAGCTGTCTTTAAGTTGTGTCAAAATCGCTAGACAACGGGGGGGGAAAGGGAAGGTTGCCCAACACGGGCAACGGGGATGATACTACATGAAAAAGGAACTCACCCACCCAGGTGAATCAATATGCCAGGGTAAGTAACGAAGATAAAAACACCGAAAGAAAAGGCACCAGCAGAACTTCCAGAAACCAACCCATTCGTGAAGAAACGTATCCATACTTGAAGTCATCGGCTTAAGGGGCCGTGCACATGACTATTGGGTTTCAAACAGTTGTACCGTTCGCTGCGGTCTGTTGGTAGTAGGCATATGCCTTTGCAGCAGGCGCGGGGTCATCGGGTATGGGCTGCGTGTGAGGAACTGGCACAAACTGTGCGGTTGCAGGGATGGGTTGCACCGCCACATTCTCGCCAGTCCGAACAGAAGCAACGGATGACGGGCCATAGATTTCGCGATCCAGGGTCATGTATTCCTTCGCGGCATCCTTGGTGCCCCTTTCGAGAAGGTATGTCATGTAGATTTGCACGAGGTCCTTGACAGCATCGACTTGCAGAACGCTCTTAGATCGGATGTCAGCAATGACCTGCTTGATACGTTCATACTGAACCGACTCGGTAGCCTCGCTGGTGGGTTGTTCGATTTCGAAGACGAGGTAGCTTCCCCAAAAGGGTCGGCTGGCAAGGTAGTAATGCTGATTCTCGTGGAAAACCTTGCGAGCCTCGTCAGGGCTGCCCTTGATCTTCCACAAAAGGCGGGCCCACTCGGCAACGAGGGCAGCCTTTGTGGCCATTTCGCACTCGGGCGAATCCAGTTGTGTCTTGTAGACTTCAATGGCCGCCTCAAGACCTCCATGGCGACGACACATATTGGCGAGCGAGATAATCGTTTCGACATGGCTGGGGAGGTGCATAAGGATGGCATTGTGGATATCTTTCGCCACGTCCACGCGGTCTGACACCTCTTCGAAGTAGGCATAGTGGAGTCGGATAGTGGGATTGGCAATCGGGACGTAGAGATACGAGGCACGTTGGTATATGATCCGTACCTCTTCTTCCTTGTCAGGCTGAGCAGCCATCCAGCGAGCGTATCGGAGCCAGAACTCGTCGTAATGGGCACAAGTGACCAGGGACCGCTCATACAGGAACTGAGTCCGGGAGAACGAACCCTCGGCTTCCTCGAAGTCAAGATAATTCTTCCAGTTCACCAACTGGCCTTCATCGAGCTCAGTAACATGGAAGTAGGGACGCTTAATCTCCGATTCAAAAGTCCAGCGCTTGGTCGTCTCGGTTTGGGTATTCGTGAAAACCTCGACGTGGTAACTGTCCACACGATGCCGGAGATCCCGTTCGATCTCGGCCTCAGCCTTGGCACCAGGAGCCGGCTGGGAGGATGCAGCTTCGATCTCAGCGCGGAATGCGGCCATGGTCTCTGCTGGGGCGAGCTCGGACAAGGGGCGGGTTTGCGCCATCAGACGGTAACGCTCGAAGTAGCGAGCATACTGGTGCATTGGGATGTGGACGACACGTCCAAGAATGGCAAAGATCTTGTCGTGGGCCTCAACTCGCTCCTCGAACTCAATGTACTTATCCCAGAAGGGATGGGAAAGGAAATCAAGGCCCACACTGCTCGCACCCCGTTCGAAAAGCCTGGTGGGTATTTAAGTTAGTATGCTGCAGAAACATGGGCCTGATAGGTGGGATAGGAGTGGTAGGAGACAAGAACGGGATATTGAAGATGGCAAACATGAGCAAGAAACTCTGCCCGGTTGTGAAACCCCAAGTAATCAAATGAGTGTGGTGGATGAAGCTAAGGGATAGGTGGACATCCAGTGCTCCGTAAATGGCCATCGAACGTGACTATTCATTGGCCTTCAATGCAAGGTGGTGACTCGGCCAATCAAAGGAGAAATGCAGCCTGAGCGAGCTATGGGTGAGAAGTAAACTCGACTTAGATCAGGGGAAGTAAAGCAGCGAGCGGTCTCTCACCCATCAACAATGAAACCAACTGGATATTGAAATATCCAGGAAACATGTGACCGGCACCACGAGAACTTTCGCGAGCTGCGTTGGTAACGGTTATAGGGAAAGGGAAGAAGCCCATTTCTACTCTCACTTACTCTCGAATGATGTCGGACTCGTGCGAAGTCTCTGCCTTGAACGAACAATAGTTGGTCCAAAGATCAACGGACGGCGAAATGCTAGCAATGCCTCGTTCATAGACCTGGAGCGACAATATTAGTATGAATTCATGGAAAAGAAGAGGCTGGTGCCCAAGGGTTGCGCATGCATACCATCTCAGCGGCCTCAGTGCCGGTGATGGAGAACTCTTGGTCGGCATACTTCTTCCAGTATCCAAAGAGCAAAGGGAACTTGGCGAGGAACCGGTCATAAACTGAGCGGACGGTTGTGATGGCCTGGGGGCTGGAATTGCGATTTATTCCACCCTCGAGGGCCTCCGCCGCGCGAACCAGCTTCTCCCAGGTTTCGAAGTTGTCGGGATCATCAAGCTGTAAAGGATAAGCACGTCAGTTAACGAGGGACAAGTTCGTAAGTACGTGTGGAACACGTACCAGGTCGGTCTCAAGTTTTCTAATCTCCGCGTTCTCCTCTTCGGAGCCTCCGTACTGATGATAGTCGGCCATAGTCGTCGCAGTGCTGAGGATGCGCACGAGAAGTCGATATCCCAGAATAAAACGATAGGAATGAGATTGCAGGTACTAATAAAATAGCAGTGATAGTAACAATGAAGATTCTGAAGGGAAGAAATTCTGGGGTTGAAACGAGACTGAAAAGCGAGCCGAAGATAGGAACTCCTGATGCCTGAGGCGAGGATCTTTGGTATCCAGTCCACTGGGGCCCTCCGGGGTCTGGAGGGCGGTGTGGCCCAAGGCGGTGTAAGTAATGACTAAGTTCAGGCTTTGCCTATCCACAGACACGGCAAAAAAAACCCCATTGGCGCCTTAGGAACAAGGCGAAAACCTCACTTCATGCCTGACGCCTGAGGCATAATTTCAAGGCCTTGGCGTGAGCCGGGCGGTATCAACTTTTTGACCAGAACACTCACAAACAACCTTGGAACCACCTGTGCACACTAGGATCACAACCCATCTTGATCCATCATGTCGGTTTCGAAGCAGACGGGTGCACTGTTGGAAAATCTTCCTCAACGTCTGGTCAATTTCTTCGCTCGGTATCCTCCACAAGTCCACTCCGCGGCTGTCCGCCGTCCTGCCCCTGCGAATGGAGAGGGCTATGTACCAACGAAGGTAGAATCTCCATACACACCAGACCGTGATGTGAAGAGTGTCCCAAGAGAGAAAAAGCATGGCTGGACTCCTTCACGCGCACTCCTCGTTACCAGCGACGAACTCCGCAATCCATTTCTTCCGCATAAGCGATTCGGCAAATGGGAAGCACCGAAATATGGGCTGCGCCAACAAGCTGATCTGATGAAGCTGGCAATCAAATACAATGTGGGGGCACTTCTCCCTCCCAGTCGCAAATCACCTGAATTCAAGGAGACACGGCGCGCAGAGCGTGGTTTGCAGGTTAAGGGAACTGGAGTTGGTCATAAGGTTAAGGGTCACAAGTGGGAGCGTACCATGGAGTCACGTCTCGAGGACCGTCGCAAGGCAATGGAAGGGATGCCAGAGATGGTGCGGATGTGGAAGCAGGTTAGTACTCGATTGGTCCTTCCCGTTGAAGTGGTTAGAGCAATGCTGACTCGGCGCAACAGAGAGGTCATGGCCGTGGCTGGAGACAATGGCCCAAGCGGTAATGGGGATGCCCCACTGCCATACATCACAGCATATTGTTTCTCTTCTTTATTCTGGCCAGTTTGTTCATTCTGGTTTTTCAATGTTCTGTTGATTCCCATGCGAACCGGATCGGCACAAATACTTGTACGAGCTATAGCAGGAGCTTGGGACGGAGTTTTGTCTTTGAAGTATACTATCAACCCCATCTGTACAATACAATCTACGGTCACAATGGTGCTCAAGAAATTCATTTACATGTATCTGGCCGGTGTTATCTCTCACTATCCGCAACACCAATAAGAAACCTACTTGCTCCCAGCTAAACACGTTCAATCTTGCGGGTAATTCCCAAGCGGACCATAAGCAGCGAGGATGAGGTGAAGCCCAAAGAAACCATAGTCAATAATAGTATACTATAGAAAACACCTCACACAGATCAATGTGGCTTTGATCATTGTGGCTTTGATCAGTTCAGCCTCAGAATCAATTTGTAATACTACAGTGGGGTTATTCCAGGACATTTTGCGTAATTACCAGGTTGGCGTGTCTACAGCGATGGCACTTGACTCGGATGTATTGACATGGATTGTTTAGTGTCTTTCTCAACCCAATGAATCGACATAGATGAATAGCCGAGTTGGTAAGCTGACATGTGACGAGATTGAAGGTAGTGCTTTAGCTTTAGCGCGACCCTAGAAATCCATGCAAGTTGGGTTGACCGTTGTGCATCGGCGGCGCTATTGCGATTTGAAAGACATAATGATCGAAGAAGTGCCTCATAGGCTAAATCGTCGGCTGGAAGCCTATATCGATCAATGTGATTGTGTACTAGAATGAGGGAGTTTCAATCATTAATTTCAATAGTACTCATGAATCTGTCGGCTGATGCAAACATGTCTCCCCGATGAGGCTGTCCGTGACCGTAAAAGGTATAGTAACTCTGATATTATGCATGGCGTGCATGAGCGTCACGATGTAGTGGGGTCCAGGGCTGACGGATGTAGATTGTCGTGTGTATAGTGCCAAATAGTGCGTGTGATAGGATGAGAACAACCACCCAGAGCGGTGAATCTCCAGCAAAACAACTATTACCACGCCCTGTCCATTACACACCACATACGAGGGGAATCCCATCTCGAGACATTCTTTGTCCCTTCACAGCACACCACGAAAAGCTGAAAACAACCTATAAAGGCCATTTACCAGACTTTTGGAATGTGCTTTTTCCCTAAACCTCCGATAGCCTATCCATTTGCAGTGGACTGGAAATCAGACCCGGGCTAGTTGATTTGTTAGCATCGGTGACCTCCGATGAGAATATAGCTGTCTGCTATCTTATATGTGGTGAGGCTCCCCCCTCTTTCTTCAACTCCATTTGATATTACACAGTCGCACAACTATACAGTCTCTTTGTGGATCTCTCAGATATTCATTATATGCTGATTGTGCTGCTAGACATATATACAGAAAGTCCCACCTTCTTTCAGTATTTGCCACCTTGATTTCGAACAACGTACAACATAGTGCAACAAACCCTGGTATCCGTGTGTTCAAACCTGAACTTCAACAATGGCAGGATCAACCTGTCAGGGGTTAGTTCATCCCAATTATAGTCAAGGTTACTCCGCCGATGTGGACGTAATCCGAGATCAAGAGTACCCTCTACTAAATGGTACAAATGCCCAATTGCTACACTCAATCCATACTGATCACTACTCTATTAGGAACAACATACTTGGATTATGCGGGGACAACACCCTATGCCAAGTCCATGATCGAGTCTTTCTCGCGTGATCTTACATCTAATCTGTTCGGAAACCCTCATTCGATGTCTGTATCATCACAGCTTTCTACACAAAGAACCGAAGATGTTCGAGTCCGCATATTGCGATTCTTTAATGCGGATCCGGATGAGTTTGACCTTGTCTTCGTGGCAAACGCAACTGCCGGAATTAAGCTAGTCGCAGACTCACTCCGGGACTCCGACCATCGAGGATTTTGGTATGGCTACCACATTGATGCTCATACCAGTATCGTTGGGGTACGAGAGCTAGCCGAAATGGGTTACCAATGTTTTCAAAATGACGATGAGATGGAGGCTGAAATTACAAAGTTGGCTGGCAACCAGTCGAAAGCACCCAGACTACTTGCATACCCAGCCCAATCCAATATGAACGGCCGACGTCTGCCTATACGATGGTGCGAACAGGTCCGATCCGCAACAAACGAAAGCGGAGGAAATGTATACACCTTACTTGACGCTGCATCGCTGGTATCAACTGCTCCACTTGATCTAGGCCCGTCCTCATCTGCTCCAGACTTCACTGTCCTCAGCTTCTACAAAATCTTTGGGTTTCCCGATTTGGGTGCTTTGATCGTCCGAAAAAGTGCAGCACGTGTTTTTGAGCGACGGAAGTATTTTGGCGGGGGCACCGTCGACATGGTCCTGGCTACTGGGGTGCAATGGCATGCGAAAAAGGAAACCTCAATCCATGAGCGGCTAGAGGATGGTACTCTCCCATTCCATAGTATCATAGCTCTGGATACGGCCTTGGACACCCACGAGCGCTTGTTTGGTTCTATGGCAAACATTTCGGTACATACCTCGTTCCTTGCAGAGCAAGTCTATGAAAGGCTTTCTTCATTGGTGCATTTCAATGAGAGAAAAGTCTGTCAAATTTATCAGTCGCACACCTCGTCATATGGCAATTCACATACCCAAGGTCCGATTATTGCGTTCAATCTTTGCAATAGTCGTGGTGAATGGGTTCCCAAAACTGAGGTGGAAAAACTGGCTACGGTGCAAAATATGCAGATACGCACTGGATCCGTCTGCAATCCAGGAGGAACTGCCTCGTCACTCGGTTGGACTGGACATGAGCTTCGCCGGCATTACTCTGCTGGATTGCGCTGTGGTGATAACCATGATGTTCTGGGAGGGCGACCAACAGGAATTCTGCGTGTCAGTATTGGTGCCACGACAAATATGAAGGATATCGACTCTTTGATAAACTTCATCGAGGACTTTTACGTGGAGAAGTGTCCGCCTATAGTCGCTCTGGATCCTCTGACAGAAGAAAATGAGGTCGCTGCCCCTCATTTCTATGTTGAAAGTTTAGCAGTCTTCCCAATCAAAAGTTGCGGTGCTTTCAAGATCCCCGAGGGAAAGCGCTGGGAAGTGAAGAAAGAGGGACTGGCCTGGGACAGAGAGTGGTGTTTGGTTCATCAAGGGACTGGTGCAGCCCTGAACCAGAAAAGGTATGTTATGCCCAAACCAAGTATCCGAATTCCTAAAGTAACGCTAGTAGATACCCTCGTATGTGCCTGATACGACCCTCGATTGAGATTGAAAAAGGAGTTCTCCGCATTACTTGTGGTGCAATCGCCGCACCAGATCAGGTCAGCCTTGAGATTTCACTTGGGTGGGAGGACACAAGTCTCATCTCCACATCCTTCTGCCCAAGCTCGACCAAAAAGCCTACAACAGTCTGCGGCGACCCAATTTCTCTCCATGCCTACACGTCCCCGGTGGTCTCGGCATTCTTCTCAGACTTCCTGGGGGTGCCATGTACTCTCGCACGATTCCCTACACAGACCGCCAGCCGGTACTCACGGATGCAACGGATGCCAAATACATGGAAGAACCGGTTCCGCAAACTGATAATGCCTGGCTCATTCCCACCTGACTTCCCTCCCCCGGCACGTGAGAGTGGCCAGACACAAATCACATTATCCAACGAGTCGCCAATTCTCATTGTCTCGCGTTCATCTGTCAACCGACTGAATGAGACCATCAAAGCAAACACAAAACATGGCAGCAGTAAGACAGTCGCTGCAGACGTCTTCCGGGGTAACATTGTCGTTGCTGAACGACTTGCTCACCGTGGCGATGTGGAACAACCATATGCGGAGGACCGGTGGTCATCACTTCGAATTGGACCAGATCAGCTTCGGTTCGATGCTCTCGATGTATGCCAACGATGTCAAATGGTTTGTATAGACCAGTTTACCGGCGCCCGACGCTCTGAACCGTTTTCAACACTTGCTAAGACGCGAAATATCGACGGGAAGGTCAGATTTGGCAAATATTCCGCACTTTCTCCAGAAGAACTAGAGGGTTTTGACTCGGAACTACCTGATCGCAGGACATTGATGGTAGGAGATGTGGTTGTGCCCTCATATCAGGATGATTGAATATTTAAATTTTTTCTTTTCGGTGTTATGGTTGGTTAGTTTGTGTTTCTGGGTGGACTTAAGTATTTGATAGTGCCATTATATACATACTATGCACCTTGTGTGCAGCTGTACTTACCAAAAAAATGTTTGTGATTTGTCTAACACAGTTTGATGGAGAATATTCCTGCTCCGGAATCTTGAGGGCCTTTTGCCTACGAACACGATTGAATGGTTCCGTTTTCATTTGCTGACAGGAGGTAAATTCTTATTCTGATATTCTCAGAGGTTTACGCTTTCTGTGTGGTATTCAAAAGTTGCCCAATTCATAAACGCAAAAGTGATATCCATGCTAGTACCTACTAAGCAACATCAACGGTTGAAGCAACATTTTCCTGGGCTTTGGTAAAAGGCGCAGCAAAGCCATAGGTCTGGTAGCCTTTAGAGTAATCTTTGCCGTCCTCACGCTCTAGGAGATATATATCAGCAACCCGGCCCTCATTCATCTGAACTTCTGAACTTCTGAACTTCTGAACTTCCAAAGAATAACTCGCCATGCTCAGGCGGGAACATCTCCATCCGATGCTTGTAATATTGCTCTCTAAGATCCTCCCCGTCACTCCTCGAGTGAAAGGTAGCATAAAGGCTCGACTGACTCTTATCAGTCTTGTTCTCAGCCGAGCGATGGGCGAGATGTGACCCAAAGACCAGCATATCACCCGTTTCAAGTGGAACGGATGTCCATTCGTGCGCGTTCTCCCATTCAGGCGTGATTCGGCCAGCTTCTGCAAATTCAACTTTCATCTTATGTGACCCGCGCACAACCTCCAGACATCCGTTTTCGGGAGTCGCGGCGTCAATGACTATGCTGGCGGTAACGTGTTCGATGCGGCCGATGTGGTCGTAGGCTGGTGCATCGAGGTGCGCTTGGAAGCCGTTTCCCTGGGGCTGTTTGTAGTTGATCTTCTCTTTGAAGAGCAACATATCCTACAGTTAAGAGCTTGATGTTAGTATGATAGCCTAATAGAGTCTTGGTATTGGGGACCTAGGGAAGATACATCGCCTGAGACTGTCTCCAGAATCCTGGCCAGCTGCTCGCCGCAGACCAGTGACTTGAACTTGGGGTGATAGTCAATGAACCTTTCCGTGCGCATTAGTTGGCGTTCGCCATTCATGTTGATCTCATCGTAGGGCATCCATTTTCCCTTGACACGAGGCCAGGCTTGGACTTCTTGCGTCCATTGCTTGAGTTCGGTGGGGTCGACGAGTTTGTGCTCGTCGGCGCGTAGCAGGAGGTAACCATTCTCATGGTAAGAAGCTATTTGTTCAGGTGTGAGAGGTGCCATCTTGGAGTAACGATAAATGTAAGGAGACAAGAAGATGATTTAATTTTAGAATAACAATTTTGGAATAACCTGATCGAAGGGAAAAAGTGGTAACCAGCGAGCTTTTAATAGTTCCGAAATGGGTTAACTTCTGGCTTCTTCCCAAGTTACTGGGGGCCCTTTCCGATGACTCGGCCCTCGATTCCCCCATAAGCTAGTTCTCATCGTATTTCTCAATAATTTCGGGGATCAAGTGAAGGTGTTCGTCCCGAGGCCAGACATAAACTCTTGGGATGCAGCATAGACCAGCGGGCTTCATGCCGAGATCACTCATTCTCGGAGAATATCCAAGGTTATACATAGAAACATCAATTTTGACATTTTAAGCCATTTATATTCTAGCTACACAAATGAGGAGGAAATATCTTGAAAAGGATTTTTTGAAAAGGTCTTCAAAATGACTACTAAAAGGACATCAGGCCGCATAAGCGACTATTCTTGTGAATTGTTAGGGCAAGTTGGATCATCAACACGTGGACGGACTTCGTGCCTTGTAATTTCGCCATTTCTAGGAACCTATAATATGTCAAGACACTACACGAGGGATTTATTTAAGACCCAATCCATCTCTGAAGTCGAAATCGAATATATCCATCAAAATGAACATGATGACTCTCTCCCAGATCGAGCAACCTCTCGCCTCGGTCGAGGATCATACTCGAGCAGCCATTGAAACATTGTTCCAATTTCTGCACGCACAGGGTCAGGGTGATTACCTCGGTGAGCAAGTAACTCAACTAGAACACTCGCTACAGTGTGCATATCTTGCCACACAGTCCCCCGAACATGGAAATGACCCCGAGGTCATCCTGGCTGCACTTTTGCACGATGTCGGACGGTTCATCCCCGTGGCCGAGAAGATGGGAAAAATGATTACTCTTGACGGCCAGTACGTTGGAAGACAAAGTCACGAGGCTCTGGGAGAGGCTTATCTGCGCCAAACTGGGTTCAGTGAGAAGGTGTGCACGCTGGTTGGTGCGCATGTAATGGCTAAGCGATATTTGGTCGCGACAGATCAAAGCTATTATGATGCATTAAGTGAGACTAGTAAGCGGGCGTTGAAGTTCCAGGTAGGTCATCTTTCCCTTCTTATGTCGTCAATATTCGAAGTATATTAACGACGATTAGGGTGGCGAATACGACACCGAACAGGTCCAGGAGGCCCAACGGGATCCCCTGCTTGAGGCAAAGCTTTCTGTCAGACGATGGGATGATCTTGCGAAAACGCCGAATTTCAAAGTCCCTCCTCTGGAAACCTATAAGGGAGTTGCCTATCAATGTCTTATTGGTGAGCATCTGATCGCGACCTTCTAATAACCCAATGTAGATACTAAACGATGATCTAGACTCCCGGTCAAAATTTACCCTACATTCGAAAGAATACCGCCTGCCAACACAGCCCACAGTCGTAATTTGTGTCGATGGCTTCGATCCGGAATACTTAAAGTCTGGTATCGAGAGAGGCCTTCTCCCAACTTTCAAGAAATTCCTTGACAATGGATTCCATGCCACTTCCAAGAGTTGCATACCCTCATTCACCAATCCGAACAACGTGTCTATCATTACAGGCGTACCACCATCAACTCATGGAATTGCCGGAAACTTCTTCTTAGACCGAAAGACAGGCGAGACCAAGATGGTCACCGACGACTCCCTGCTTCGCGGGTCAACAATACTGGAACAGATGTTCCGACATGGTGTACGAGTGTCGGCCATCACCGCCAAAGACAAGTTGCGCAAAATCCTTGCTCATGGCTTAAAGGGAGCTATATGCTTTTCTTCGGAAAGAGCAGCAGATTGCACTCTGGACGAGAACGGGATTTCCGACGTGGAACAATGGCTCGGTCAGCCCGCGCCTAGCCAATATTCGGGCGATTTGTCTCTGTTTGTGCTTGATGCGGGCATTAAACTGCTCCAAGAGAATAGATCGGACTTTTTATATTTGACATTGTCCGATTATATTCAGCACAAGTATGAACCTGGCAGCAATGAGGCAGACAATTTCATGGGGGCAATTGACGAGCGTTTACAAAGGATTGCAGCTCTAGCTCCTGTTATCGGGATAACCGGTGACCATGGTATGAGCCAGAAGTCGAATGAGCTGGGGCAGCCCAACGTTCTCTTCCTGGAGGAAGTTCTGAATGCCGAGTTTGGGCCAAATGCCTCCAGGGTGATCTGCCCCATCACGGATCCATTTGTTCGACACCATGGCGCACTCGGTTCCTTTGTGCGCGTTTATCTCAAAGACATCACGCAACTTGGATCGATACTTTCATTCTGCGAGGCACTCCGAGATGTTGAGGTTGCTCTTAGCGGCCAAGATGCCGCCCAAGTATATGAGATGCCTTTGGATCGAGAGGGTGATATTGTGGTTATTTCCAAACCACATGCCGTCATTGGTAGCTGCAAAGCAGACCATGACCTTTCAAAATTGAAAGACCATCCGTTACGATCCCATGGAGGCTTAAGCGAGCAAGATGTCCCATTGGTTATGTCCAAACCGGTAAACAATGAGAGCAGGGCCGAGGCTAAAGACTGGAGGAACTATGACGTGATTGATCTTGTGCTCAACTGGTCTATCTGATATTCCCAAGGTTGCTTATTTCGATGCCTCTGGGAAAATAGGGGGCACCATCGATGTATTATAATGTAGCCACCAGTCGTCAATATCAGGAAAGTTACTTTGAAAATCAAAGCTTGCCATGTTTTCCATCCAAGTTGCATCAAAGACTGGGGGCTGTTCCTGCACAGGAAACGGATGATACATTGTCTTGTGGACTGCTTGAGTGGACATCTGGCATCTACTTAACAGCCGTTCCAAGCCTTCGCTAATGACCACAAGGAGATGGTGCTTGTGCATAGCTTGGGTGATATCCCGAAGGGCAGCCACAGTGTCAGTGACCAGAGAAATGATCTTGCCTGTGTCAATTCTGATCATGAATGCATACTTCGTGGCAACTTTGAGAAGAAAGACAACGGCGAAGGCAAGCATAGTATCGAAATATAAAGGAAGCCCATTCATGAACGAGCGGAATTCGGCATCACAGACAATCATCTGGAGGATTGACATCGCTGACAATACGCCGGCATTGGCGATCTCTTCCAATTCAGAAGACATGTACTGAGGTGAACTCTCTGATGCCGGTACACCACGAAAGGCGTGCGAGCAAAGGTACAGCTTTGCAAAATAGAAGTGAAAGCCAACACCCTTTTCTGGATAATTTCCGACATTCTGATTCTCTTTGAAGCTTTCGCTCCAATCTGCAAACCACATATCCAAAAAAATGGAGTATCGGCGCAGTTGTGGCAATGTCTGAGGCGCAACAGGAGTATCAACGTCAACCCCGAAGGTGTCAAAGACACGACCCAAGATTGACCATTCTTTGACTTGGCTGATTAATCTAGCATCATCTTCTGTGGCGTGCTCAGTTTCTAGTATTCGACTAGCCGACTCGATTATAAACCCTTCTCTGGACATCGGGGGTCGACCATAAGCGATCGAAAAGTGGTGGTCGCATACGTAGACGAGATAGTATAGTCGAGCTTGACGATAGCCATCACGGTCTCCTTTGAGGGCCCTGTAGATACCACTATGAAGATTAATGTCCGACGCAATACGGACAGCTAGTTCTGTTAGCTTTGCTTCGCCAGAAGATTACAGTCACATACCATTTCCGATCAAGGGCCAAGAAAGTTCATGCAGCCAAAATGCACCAACACACAGGCCACGGATGTCATCTTCGTTCACATGTCTTGAAAAAGTTTGAGCCGCGACAAGATTCTTATATTCACCATAGCAAGTTTCAAAGAGATGACCGAGAGATTGAGAATGCAAAGCAGCCACAGTACAAATAGCCGTCGTTAACAGTGGAGAAGCGATTCGAACCGAGTCCAAACTAATATGGTCGCCAAGAATGCGATAGAGGAAATGATCAAGTCTGAGATGATATGTTTCGAATAATGCTACGGCTTGACGTAATGAGATGAGTCCCGTGGATATCAAATCTGGACGACGGGCAGTTGATAAATTGTTTGGTAGACCGGCCTTCCCACTTTCTGAGACGCAAGAGGCCGGGATGGAAGCTGGACGGACCCGCCCCGGGGATCCATTATCACTTCCCATGTCTGCGGTAGCTCATGATTCTCTTTTGGCTGGGATGATTGACTTGAGGTAAAGGTTTCCCCCGTGATAACTTCTTCATTAACAGCTTCGGTCGGTGGACCCGAAGAATCATCTTGTATTGCAGGAGCAGCCTGCAAAGCTTGCAACTCGGGCATGTCAACTTTGGCAGCAATCTTTGCAACGACCTCTTCTAGCCGCCGCATCTTTTGCACCACGGCGCCTTTCCATCTAGATCCCATTAGGACATGCTAGTGCAAGATATTGGGCGTACTTACGTGACATCGTCTTCCAGTAATGTCTGCAAGCTTCGGTTCACACTGCAAGGGAGGCCTCTCTTCTTGCACTGCGAGCATGGCATCTGACCCTCCCGCATATGACATTTGACCTTCCCCGCATGTTAGTTACTTCGTTATCTCCGGCGATAGAACTAACCTTTTGCTTGCGACATGCTACACAAGCAGTAATCTTGCGAGTAATATCGGGTGGCTTCCGGTCACCGAATGATTCTCGTAAAGCACTTACAGCCGGCGGAGAGGCTAATTCGATGTCCATATTGTGTGTTCAATTGTTGCTTGCAGAGTGGTCGGAATGTTCGAAATTTGCAGTGTTTGCATTTGCCAGACATTAACAGACATTAATCGCAGTATCAACTCACAATACAATGAGCATGACCTTTCACATCTGAATGATGTTGCGGACTTCGCACCGAAGATATATCTATGGGCAACACTGGCAACACTGGCAACACTTGGCGGGATAAAGCCGGGCTCCACGTTGGGGCAGTGCGAACTCCTGACTGGCCTCTCCACATGACCCGTTTTCGCGTTGCATCCCCTCTTGGCAGCTTGAGCGTTGCTCATTGCATCTTTGATTCTTCGCGAGGAATCTCATGTCCGACATCAATGTATACCACAGAAATATCGACGGTAGTTCCCCCCGAGATACTAATGTCTGTGGTAGTTACGCCTATTATACGCAATGTTAGAGAGTATATAATTTCACTACTGAGCAAAAAAATAACAATGTATATCTACTAGTGTTCAACTCAAGACCAGTATCGCATTTTGTTTCCTTTCAATCACTTCTATTCTTGTTGACCTTAAGAATCTTCTGGTTCGTTCCAATGACATCTCTGGGAGCCAGATCGAGATTTGTAGTCACTGCTGGCGTTGGATTCTTCGCAGATGGCTATCTCAATTTGACGATTGGGCCTGGTGAGTGACTTCAATCAATTCGATGAGCTCGAAAGACTAATGTTAAACAGTGGTACCAATTCTGGGTTACCTATACTTCCAAGATGGCAAGGTACCGACAGTCGACAGCGACATCATGAAAAGCGGCCTGAGCCTGGGAACGGTAGTTGGTCAGCTTCTTTTTGGGGTTCTGAGTGATGTCTGGGGTCGCCATACTATTTATGGCAAAGAACTTCTCCTCACTATATTTGGAACCTTGATGGTAGTCTTGTTGCCTTGGAATCGGATGTCGGCCCAGTCTGTGACAGCATGGATTTCAATATTCCGTGTTATCACCGGTGTAGGGATTGGGGCAGGTGAGTCCATGAACCTTTGAGATAAAGGCGTATAACGGGTCTAACAATGAAGGAAGATTATCCATTATCTTCGTCTTTATCGGCAGAAAAGTCACCATTTGGCTCCCGTGCTATCCAAATGTTGACTGTTTTCTCGAATATCGGCCTCGGTAATATTGCGGCCAGCATCGTGTTTTTGATCTTGCTCAAGGCATTCGAGGGGTCGATAGCTGACAATATGAGCCATCTCGAATGGGTCTGGCGTCTACTATTGGGAGTCGGAATCGTGCCAGCGGCGTTCACTCTTTATGCACGGTTAACGACCAGAGACACTGCCCTACAAGCAATGTGAGAGTGCTCGCAGTTTTGTATTTTGAAGATAGCTAATGCTGTTTAGATGTCTGTGATGACACTACTGGGCAGAAACGCACATTCAAGAAGCAGTGGGAAGACTTTTGCGAGTACTTCAGTCACTGGAAACATGCCAAATTGTTGTTCGCAACTGCAGCCTCTTGGTTCTTGTTGTAGGTTAATGGCCTTAAAAGAAAAGCACCCCCAAACTAATACACATAGCGATATCGCATATTATGGTATCAATCTCAACCAAAGCATTATACTGGCAAGAATTGGCTATGCCCATGGAGCAACACCGTGGAAAACTCTGTACAACACTGCTGTGGGTAATATAATCATACAGGCAGCAGGGTATCTCCCTGGATTCTACGTCGGCATCTTCCTTCCTGATCGCATCGGTCGTGTACGCCAACAATTCTGGACCTCTATCATGGTCTCCATCCTTTATGCTATATGGGCTGGAATCAGCACACAAAGTGCACACACCCCGACAGCGGGCTTGATGGTTATCTTTGCCCTCTCGCAGTTTTTGCTGACTGTTGGTCCTAATTGCACAACGTTCTTGATCCCCGCAGAGGTGTTCCCAACGCGTGTTCGAGGCACAGCACACGGAATATCTGCTGCTTCTGGAAAATGCGGCGCCATTATAACTGCATTTGCTTTCGGTTCTGTTGAAGATGCAATTGGCTTGGAGGGTGTCCTTGGATTGTTCTCAGGAATCATGCTGCTCACTGCTCTTGTAACCTTGCTGATACCCGAGACCATAATCACACTCTTGAGGGCATTGAAAAAGATGAGCTTTATAGAGCAAGCGAAGCTGTTGCCGAGCTTCCACACTCTAACGTTGAGGCAGGGAACAGGGAGCTATATGTGGTAAAGACCAGCTTTGATGATAGTTAAGTGGAAAGATTATCGACATAGGCAGATCAAGAAACTGTAGTTCTCGGTCAAAGATAATAAAGGAATTAATTAGTTCACCTGTGAATTATTCTTCTCGGCCATTCCGATAAAGGACAAATACATTTCTAGTAGAATTGTAAGTATATCATCTATAATATCACTATAAAACAACTCTGTATCTATATATCTATATTACGCGCTGTGTCATTAAATAGGTACTGCTTTGAAGGTTAACCATCGAGGCCCTTTTTCTTACCTATTAATCAATTATTGGCCTCTATTTGAGATTTGCAAAGAAATATATTCGTCACACGCATTGGATGCTATAGGCTACTATGCGCTAGAAATACCCTCGGCGATGCTTTCCTCCAAACTGACCCAACCCGACCGATTGAAGTAGCTCTTAAGAAGCTGCTCTGCCCGTCTAGAAGGCACGGAATCACTCAAGTCCCGAGCTTCATTTTCAGGCTCGGGGGGAATCAGTAGATTATCCGGACGAAGTTTTCGTAGGATTCTGATGACATCGGTCCAGTTCTGGGTGGCCGCAAATGCGAAAATTCGCTCGAAATTTACCGATGGTGAGAGAAGGGCAATAATGTGTAGTCTCGCAGCATCCGTAACGTCAACATACCACTCTATAAATGCTATTAGTATTTTCCTCTGCTCAGGCCCACCTTGGACTTACGTGAAGGGAGGAACCCAAGTGCTGCCCCATCCCCTTTAAGGATATTCCCGATCAACGACTGTGTTGAACCGCGTATTTCGGGAGCAAGGATCTTGCCAAACTGCGAGATTTCCATCAGTAAATTTCCCATGATATGAGTAAGGAGTGACAAACAGTGATGCCTGGTAAGACCGTATTTAGAATAAATGGAGGATCATTTTCTTTGACCCATTTAAATGCCGCCCGCTCGCTTTCTGTTTTAGATGCCCCGTATACAATGTATCCCTTACCCTGCCGAGGAATACTTTCATCCCAAGCCACTTGTATAGCAGCATCATTCCAGGTGTCTAAAACTTGTTTAGAGCCCGAGTTTTAAAAGGTCTTAAATAGTGAATAGTGCCTACGTACCTGTGGTGAGCACAATTCCTTCTTCATTGGGCTTCGGCAAGTATGCGGCGGTTGAAGATGAGGTCAGAACAAACCGCTTAACAGTAGCTTGTTGCGAAGCTGTTTTCAGCAGGCTCACTGTTGCCTTTATGGCATGTGGAATGGATATATTCGGGTCAGGGTTCATCGATAGATCAGCTGCCTGTGAGATGTCAGGTAAATGTTCTCTTTTTCTTTTTCTTTTTGCTTGTTCATATAAATAGCACGCACGACGTGAATAATTCCTGCGATTTCTTTGACTGCCCCTTCCCATTCAAGCCCACTGGTGAGGTCCGAGACAATGCAAGTTTCAAACCTGCCTTTGCCGTATTTTCGGTCGAAGAGCTCATTTAACCAGGGCTTGGGCTCCCGAATACTGCCGCGAACCAAGTAGCCTAGGCTCAATAGTTGATCGGCTACATGGGAACCAATGAAGCCGTTGGCTCCAGTCACGAGGATTTTAGACCCTTGAGGGATTGTGCCCTTGACATCCGACATTATGTCCAACAATCAAAGTGTATCCAGACACCAAAGTGAGACGAGGTATGAGCTTGAAGATTAGGTAAATGACAGATCGTCTAAATTAAGATGGCCATCAAATATGTCAGTCGCAATGTTGAGTTATGTAACTGTGCTTGCCACATACCTGGGACTAATAATAGTTGCAAACGGAATAGGTGGAGTCGACTGCTCTTAACATGAGTGGTAAATCAAACCCGAAGCACGCACTTCATTCATCCACAAGTACGGTCTATCTGTACCCCTAGTCCAATAAAGCCACCAAAGGTGCTGGGTTTCTGACTGAAGAGGTTCCCCTAGGGCCGACTCTGAGTGAAACCAATCAGCCGATCCAAAATCAAGGGGTACGAATTACCATCACCAAAGTCATCCAGCACTTTCGCCGTGGGGTTGAGAATCCACCCGGCCAAGCTTGCCAGCGGAACTAGTGTGCTTACAATTGACTGAGGCGTTGTCTGCGGTGTTTAATTAAGGAGTAAAATGGTTGTTAATAGACCATAGCTCGTGATTTAAGAAAAATGGCTGGGAAGTCCGATGCCCAAGAGGGAATAACGAGAACAATCAAAGCGCGGCAAGTCAAGTATAAGCCCAGGTATTCCCAGGCCCGAAAATAAGGGAAAGTCACCATGGGGTCTCAGCGATAATCAGGCGTGGTCGTCCAGCATTCTTACATCAACGTCAAAGTGACTACTAAAATTTTGTTGCCCTATTAACTTTAACACTAAAAAGAGTTCACTTTGTATAGGACTCTGTGTGTTCTATCTTGGTATACATTTCCAGTAGAGTTTTCACAGTCGAGCAGTAAAAAGTTAGGGGGGCGCAGAATCTACCGGGGAAAAACGAGTCCGTCACTCCATGGAACTCTGCCCCTTCCTTTATTTTGATTCGGGAAAATGTACGTTGGCAGTTCTCTATGCTATCAACGTTTATATATCCGAATTTTCCAAAGAATTTCCATTTGTAGAAGACTAAGATGGATTGAACGGGACATAGACTGACTCGGTTCACTCGCCCTGGCTCCTTTTACAGCAGTAAGGCAAATTGATCGGCTACTGGTAAACGAATGAAACCTATCAATTTCCACTCTCTGGTTGGGCCATAATTTGTGGTTTGGTCCGGGGTCTCCTTATGTTACTCAGCATCCACCGTCTCGGCGATATCAATGCCAGTAACATGTAGCGTATATCGACTTTCGCTCACGCCCAAAGATTTCGACGCTTGAACCATACTAATTTTATTATGCTGAATAACTCAGAACGGTGGGAATCAATCAGTATCCCGGCGCTTTCAATATTACAAGTATCCACCCCTTGACTAACTTGCTCTACCTTCTATTTCAAACTATCCGTCCATTCTTGTTAAAGGTGATCGACAACTTAATATATCGTACTCTAGGTCGTGTGCTTTGGTTGGTTAAACATCGGCGTTGTGGTGTTTAGCACAGTTCTGATTGGGAAGTAGTCTGACAAGTTTCAACATCTTCAGAAATCTTATGGTGTATTTTTCTAAAACTGGAATATCTTTCAAGAACCAGACAGAGAGAACATCGAAGAAGTGTACTGATGTATAGACCATGACATTGTTTTTGGTCTCTTCTGATTGGCTTGATGATTTACCCCGCTTAAGGACCCGCTTAATATGATCAACATCACCTGATGACCTCAGAAGGATCAAGTAACCTTGCTACATTTCACATTTTCGCAATATATTGTTAGCCCTTTGTCTTTGGCTAACTTCCTGAGAACTTTTGACATGGCGGGTCGCTTCCACTCCCGCGAAGGGTCTGACACTTCCCTCAACAATCTATCCATTGCTTCTCCGCGATCCAGCACCGAATCCCGCTCTCCCTCTACACGAAACAAACTCCGCGTTTCAGCAAACCACCAGCACAGACAAAGCTTGAGCGAGTCGCTTCGCGGCCCACCCGGCTCCCCCCGCTCACGCCGGCAGCCTTCCCTCCCACAATCCGCCATCCAGAGCCTCATCGACAATCCCCCGCCACCGAAGACTAGCGACCCTGCCTTTGTTGGCCGTGATTGGAGAGAGATCTCAATTGGCGAGCTGGTCAGCCCGAATGACCTGAAGTTTGTCGAGCTCGATACGGGCATTGAAGAGGCGACGAACGTGAGTACATCACAAAGGAAACACTCCCTGTCCTTGGACTAACATGCTCGTCCAACTAGATCTTGATTGATTCAGGTGCGGCTGTGCTGTTGATCCGCGAGACCCCTGAAGCCACTTCTGCCGTCGCCACATTTGACTATGCCGATCTCAACTCCTATCTCCTGCTGGCAGCGGGCCTGACACACCCCGACGAAGCACATCAAGCGTCATATGACGAGCTAGCCAAGAAAGCTCACGACGGCGTGCCTATTCCACTGAGAGATGTCAAGAAGTTCGGTATGGAGAAAGAGCCGCTGATTAACCTGCCGGCGTCGGCCAATGTTTTGACTGCAGTTGAGATCTTTGGTGGTGGTGTTCACCGGGTTGTGGTGGTCAATGAGTCAAACAATCAAGAAGTGGTCGGGATCTTCAGCCAATTTCGGCTGGTCAAATTCCTCTGGGAAAATGGCCGCAGCTTCCCGGTCATTGAAGAGCTTTACCCGATGGCCCTGCGTGACCTGATGATTGGATCTCAAGAAGTGATCTCCATCAAGTAAGTTGTTTTTGTGAATTCCCGAAGAGCAATCTAACCGCCATTTTATCATTTGCAGTGGTGATAAGCCCCTCTCCGATGCTCTTCATGTGATGAACAACGAGGGTATGTCCTCGATCGCGGTTGTTGATAACTACTTAAACGTACTTGGGAATATCTCCACAGCGGATGTCAAGGTATGTGACGAGCCATCTTGACTGGCAAAATTTACTCACGATTTGGTAGCTTTTGACCCGATCATCTTCATTGCCACTTCTTCAAAATACCTGCACTCACTTCATCTCGGTCATTCTGTCCACACGGGGGCTAATTGAGGGTAAAGACTCATTCCCGGTTTTCCACGTCAATCCTGGATCGACACTCGCCCACACAGTCGCAAAGATTATGGCAACTCGATCACATCGGTAACTACTACACATTTGAGATATGAACAGAAGATGTACTGACTGCTGCTTTAGGCTCTGGGTGACCGATCCATTATCTCCCACCTCGTCAGGACCTCCAACTCCATCGCAGTCTTCAGTACACATCCCTCTTTCCAACAGCATCAGCCCACCTACGGGATCATATACTGCAAATTCACCACCACCATCTCCTTCTGCACAGCCCTCTCAATATCCCGCCCCTCACCTACCAACTCCTAACCTACCCTACACATACCCAGCCCCAGGCGTGCCGGTCGCAGTGCCGTCCCCAATCTCCCATTCTATTC